CCATGTAAAAGGATTTTTTTTAATATTTAATTTTTCATCAAAAACATTTTGTTTAAAGAAATTGTTCGATTTGTCCGGATTTTGGTGCCGCACCCTGTACATGATAAATTTATTGCAGCTGTTGAATCAGGATTCGTAGTTCATGATATCGATCTACAAAGGTGGATTTTACAAACTCAAGAAGAAATAGGAAATTTAAATCCTATATTTAAAGCATCCCACAGTTGGGTATCAAGATTCAAAAAGTCCCACCGAATTGTTTCGAGAAAAATTACGAAATTTGTAACTAGAAGAACAATAGAAGATTCCGTTCAATTACAAAATACAGTTGGTGATTTTCTGAAAATAGTAAAACCACTTATCGAACTATTTGGATCTGAAAATGCTTTTAATTCTGATCAAAGTGGTTTCCAATTCGAAATTCTGGAAAGTCATTGTCTAATCAAAGAATAAAGAAAGTAGAGTATGTTGTGCAATCTATAGCATCTACAACACACTCATACACCATACAACCAATAATATCGTGTAATGGAAATTTGCTGTCACCTTTATTTATTGTATTAAAAGAAACTAAATGGTATATTTGGACTAAGAGTACAAGAAACCTTATTTACACCAATTTTTACATAATATTTTACAAGAGAGTTTAAGAAAAAACAAATTTACAGTAGATAATAGTTTCCAAGTAGTAGATAATATTAGACAACTAAAAATAAAAGATAATGATCTATTATATTCAATGGATGCAGTGTCCTTATATACAAATATCCCGGTAAATGTAGCAATTGAAGGTATTAAGAACAGATGGAATGAAATTAAAAAGAAAACAGACCTTACAAAAAAAGAATTTATTACAGCAGTAGAATTAGTGTTAAAATCCTCGTATTTTACATTTAATGAGGCGTTTTATCAACAAACGTTTGGGATACCAATGGGTTCACCACTATCCCCTACTATAGCGAATCTAGTACTACAGGATTTGGAGAATAAATGCTTAAATAATTTAAGGACAAAACCCAGTCTCTATATGCGATATATGGATGATATAGCATTAGCTACGAATGAAGAGAATATGATGGAAATAATGGAAGAATTTAATAAATATCATGAACGACTCCAGTTTACATTAGAAGTAGGTAAAGAGAAATTGAACTTTTTGGATGTTTCATTAATAAAAAACAAAAATGAGATCATACATGATTGGTACCAAAAGCCCACATCATCGGGTAGATTTCTAAACTATTTCTCACAACATCCAACGTCTCAGAAAATAGGAGTGATATATAGTTTAATAGACAGGGTATTACAATTGTCACACCCTATGTTTCATAAAAATAATATACATAAAATAATCAACATTTTATTAATGAACGGTTATCCATTACAAGTAATAATTGATACAATAAGGAAAAGGATTTATCAGAAATTAAAAGTAGAATATAATAGGATGGATAATAGTGGAACAGATGAAGAAATTAATATCACTTCTTATTTCACTATTCCATATATTTCGAGCATAGAGAATAAAATAAAAAATCTTTTTAATAAATATAAAAATGTAAAAATAGCTTTTAGAGGAATAAACAAATTAAATAATATCATTAGGGTCCAAAAAGACAAATTAGACAAAATGTTACACAGTAATGTTGTTTATAAAATAGCATGTAAAGAATGTGATGCGTCATACGTAGGACAGACGAGTAGAACCTTAAAAACTAGAATAGCAGAACATAGAAATCACATTAATTGGAATTCAACACAAAGGTCGGTAATTACAGAACATAGATTGGAATTTTCACATGAATTTGACTGGAATGGAATAGAGATATTGGATGAAGAAAGAATTTTAAACAAGAGACTTACATCGGAGATGATTCATATTAAAAGACAAAAGAACAGTTTGAATCTACAAACGGACACGGAAAGACTGAATTCGGCGTATGAATGTTTGTTAAAATAATAAGAGTTTCCTATCTTGTGAGTTTGTTTGTTTGCGAACATATACTTAGAGATAACATATATACATATAATAAGATACACGCTACGGGTCATTTACTTGTTGATGAGCGACATAATAAGTAATACGAGGATCGTTATATTATAATATGTCATGTAAGTGGATATTTAAAATGTAAAAAGTTTTTTATTATTTATAATGATTAATGTACAACAGTATTGTATTGTTTGATTAGTGTATTTGGAAACACAGTGATGTTTAATTAATAATAAGGAAACGATATTGAAAAGGATCCAATCCAAGGATCGAAACGTATAATGATTGTAAATACAATAAAGATTTGATTACACGAATATCATCTGGTGGTAGACTTGAGTTGGCTTACACTTTCACGGAACTTATAAGTCTCATTTCTATAATATATTTTATATTTTATTTAAGAATCTCATAACAGTCATAAAATAGTTATTAATTTAACGTTTATATTTCTTACAGATCATTTTAAAATTGGTTAGAAGAAGCTTATTTTCCAAACATTGGTTCTAATAACGTTCTTTTTATCGATTCATGGATTAGACATTGTCCCAATATTATTTCAGATTTAACACCTGCAGAAAAACATATTACTACCGTGATTATACCTGAAGACACTACAGGAAAAATACAATTAGATGTTTACAGAATTAGAATTTGGAAAAACTTTGCTAAAAGATTTTCAGATATTGTTTTATTATTTGAAAGTAATATAAATTTACATGAACGAAATAATAAAATTACAATCTTTGATCAATTGTCATCCCCGCGATATCACAACTTATTTAAATATTCGTGGTTTAAAAGTGATTGTACAAACGAAAGACCAGATGAATTTGAAAATCCAGTAGAATTTGGTTTTGACAAAAGTTCAACAACATATGATATCGAAGGTTGCAATAATATAGCTGTCGTAAAATGTTCGTGGTGCAAGAAGTCATTATGTTTAAAACATTTTTTCATCGAGTATCATTATTATAATGATTATAATGAGTAAACGATCCAGATAGACTTGTATGATGATCACGAAATGCACAAATTAATTTACTGAAAATTTAGAACAATTTTCTGATCATTTATGACATTATTAAAGCAAAAACGTTTATATTAAAGTGAATATAAAATTTAGGTATTTGAATGATTAAATTTTTTGTTATAAAATTACAAAAACATATGTATGAAAATATATCTTCAGATTTATAATATTCTTTTTTCAATATCACTATATAAAATATTTACATCATACATAATTAAATGAAATACATCATATAATGATGCACATTTACAATTATCATGTGATGCTATAGAAAACTTAAATAATTTTTAAATTTTTCTTTATTTTATGCCGCATAAAGTAAGATAAATATACTGTAAAATTTGGGTAAACAAATGTCGATTTTGATTACCGAATTTTGTTGAAAGGATTCATAATCCTGATTTGGCGTCATAGTAAGCATAAATAATTTGTAAATCTTTCCTTATTTTACGCCGCGTGAAGTAAGACACTATAATTTTTACCAATATGAGAAAACGGGGTTCTAAAAAATTCTGAAAAAAATATCTTGTTAACTATTGCGAAAATTCTAAAATAGTAGAGGACTTTTCCTCTTACAATCAGTTTAGTCCGCTCTACCTGCTTACGCGTGTTATCAGGAGTTATCAGATACCCTATGTATACACTAGCGCTCAAAAGTCTTTTGAAAACATTTTTTTAAATTATTTTATTATACTGAATTTTACATGTTATGTCATACTTCATAAAATAAATTATAAACAAAATATTATAATTAAGAACAAAATTAACTTTTTACACACGTTAAATGATATCATGGAAAACAAAATGCATTTTGTTGAAGCTCATAAATGTTTTGACATGAAATAAAGTCACTAAAGACAATGCAAATATGAAAAAAAATTATGATATTTTGAACGAAAATAACACACAAAAAATCTATTTTGATATTGTAATTCTAATATCTTGTTGCGTAACCATTTGCTTGTATTACGGCTTCACATCTCCTAGGCATAGACTCAATAAGTTTTAATATTTTATTTTGAGGAATTTTTTCCTATTCACTTTGCAAAGCAAGAAAGAAATCACCGAAATTAGAAAAATTTCTTATTCTAACTCGCCTCTTTAATTCATCCCATAAATGTTCAATTGGATTTAAATCCGGGCTTTGACTAGGCCATTCTAAAACATTTATCTTCTTTTGAGCAAAATATTGTAATAAAAATTTAGAGCGATGTTTTGGATCATTATCTTGTTGGAATATTCAATTTCGAGGCATATTCCTTCTTGCATAAGGAAGCATATGTTTATCTAAAATATCCTTATAACCAAAACGATAGTGTTTTCTATGCGACATAGAGGACCGACACCTCTCCTAGAGAAACATCCCCACACCATGACATGTCCTCCCCCATGTTTTATTGTAAGTACTTGGTAACGTACTTTGAATCTCTCGTTCTTAGGGCGACGAATCTGGAGACACTGGTAGTGTCTCGGCGCTAAGTTGCGCGAAGCGACACTGCCGTGCCTCCTTTACGCGAACCGACGAGTTGCGGCAGATCGAGATTATATATTGTATGATAAAAGTGCTTTTATTTTTTTTTTTAAGTACTTTACGAGCAGAGATATTGCGACCATGATAAAAAGACAAGGGTATGCTCATGCGCATGACCAATCAGATTTTTGTCCTTGCTTACGTCACCACGAGTGGCTTACGCCACTGTTCAGCAATTTCAGATTGTTTTGGAAAGGTAAAATATTTAATTTTACTTCCCTCAGTTTTTTTTGTTTTTTTCATATAATTGCCGC